AGAGGATTTTTGAGGAAACAATCCTTTTTTGGCACGCCCGGTGGGACCTCATCGTGTCTTACTTACAGTTTTCAGATCCGTTGTTCTTTTTCCCAAGAAAAAGTGCAATTATGCCACCAAAAAAAAACCTGGGGAAGGCTGTCCAGACTTTACAGATTGGGCTTGGTGAAGGCAGTCCAACACACTCAGAAGGAGAGAATGAGCCAATCATTCCACCACCATTGTCACCAATACTTAGGGAGCATTCTTTTGTCAATCCTACCTTCAACAAGGGTAGTGAATCTGGAGATGATGTTGCTCAATCTAGTGATTCTCTTGTGAAAGCTATGTCAGATCAGATTAGCATCATGAGGCACACACTGATGGAATCTGAGGAGAAAGCTCGACAAAGAAGCCAAGAGGTTTCTAGATAGTTGGATGAGTCTTTTCAGAATCTGGCACAGAATTTGGCTCAAAGTGTAGCCCAAAGTGTTGCCGACATGCGACGATCCAATGAAGAAAGTAACAGAATCTGGCGCGAGCAAAATGCAGAAAATTGGAGAGCTTTCCAAGCTGAAACAGAACGAATGCATGAGGCATTTCGACGTGTCAGAATTGAGCCTCAGCCACAAGCAGCAGATCTTCAAAGGCAAAATCAGAACATTCCAGCTCCAGCACTCGGGGGGCAAGTAAATCTGCCACAGCCACCTCCCCAGATTCAGCAAGCAGCAGGCGAACCAGTGCAGCCAGATCCTGTTGAGGCTGCACCACGTGTGGCAGATCTGGGTAATCACCAGCATCCCAGATATCTGCCACCTCCGCGCCGACCAAATGGAGGACATCAACAACACAATGCACCTCCACCAAGGGAGCATTTTCAGCCTTATGTGCCACCCGTGCAGCAAAATCTTCCAAATCTGCCAGGACAGTACATAAATCGTGATCAGATCATTGACATGGTGCAGGAGGCTTATGGTCCAGTTTTGAGGCCTCTTGTCAGACCTGCTTACAGAAAACCATATCCAGATTTCATAGACCAAGAGAATCCTTTTCCAAGGGGGTTCAAGGTTCCAGAATTCACTCTATTTTCCGGAGATGGTGGATATTCTACAATTGAACATATAGGCCGCTTCACAATTCAATGTGGCGAGGCCTCCGGTGATGAGAATCTGAAGCTCAGGCTTTTTCCTAGTTCATTAACTAGTACAGCTCTCACCTGGTATCTAAGTCTGCCACAGAATTCTGTTTATACTTGGAGGCAGATGGAAGATCTTTTCCACATCCAGTTCTACCGTAGTGAGCCAGAAGTGTCCATGGCAGATCTATCTCGTCTGGTGCAGCGACCTAGGGAAACATCTGAGGCCTTTCTGGCCAGATTTCGGAAGGCCAGACTTAAGTGCAGAATTGCCCTGCCAGAACAGGAATTTGTTAAGCTGGCACAAAATGGTCT